ATTGTTGATAATGTAGTATAGAAATGCCTTTATATGACTTTAAACAAGATTAGCTGACAACCTTTGATCTTTCTATTGAAAACCTTTTTTGAATATTTGCTTGTCCAGTTGATTTAAGGAGAAGAATTGGTTATGCCTTTTAACTCTATGCAGTTATCTTTATTATGTATTTTTAGTGTGTAGGTGAAAATTTTTAATTATTAGATGATGGCAGGTTAAATAATTATTGCTTTTGTCTAAGGTTTAGAACGCCAAAATGAAAATTGAGGTGTTTTGCATTAATGAGGTAAAAGCATTGACATATTTTTCTCATCTTAAATGCGCAAAGCATAAATCCAGATAGTAAGAGAATTATGCTCTCAATTTTTATTGTTTATGTAAGTGGAAGTTTAAAATGAGATTCATGTAAGCTTGTACTTGTAATTTTAATTCGCAACGAGGAATAAGATTCACAGAGGTCTTATCTTTCATGTTCAACATCTTTCAAGTCAGATGTGATAATTCTATTTTTTGATTGAGTTTATTGGCGTCTTCAACATCTTGTTCAATCATTGTATTTTTTTTACTTATTATGTCAATTTAGCATAATTTAAAATAAAACATCATATTAATAACTTATCCATTATAATTTATGCGACATTTTTACGCGAGTTTCTAAATTGGTCTAAGCAGGAGCGGTAGAAAATCGGCCGATTAGCCCACCCTGCAGCCGACAATTGGGGCCCACAAAGGCTTAATCACATAAGCAAGGAGGAGAAATTAATGAAGTTTGGGAGGGGGGAGTGGAGTTCGAATTGTTTGCGATAGGGTTATATTAGGGTGAAGAACCTAATGTTTTTTTATATTATGACTAATAACCTAGGGTTTGTTTATATCAGGACTAATAATCTAGGGTTTGTTTTTTATGTTTTTTTGTTGCAATTTTTTCTTTTATTATGGTTTTACTACCAACTTTTAGGGTTTGTAGAGAGACAGTTTACTTCTCGAACAGTTGATCAATGTTGTATCTTATTTGTTTTTATTGGTATAAGTAAAAGTAATCCTCGTTTGAGTTTCTCTACCTCTATTGAAATTTATTTGTTTATTGTTTATTGTTTTTATCAAATTGGTGTCGAAGTAAGATCTTGGAGGAATGTTATTGAAGAAAGTGGATGTGTTGAAAGGGAAGTAAGGTAAAATTAGACCGGGAATGGATGAAATGTTTGCTATCATGGAGGAGAGGGTTTCTTTCATAAAAATTCGAATAGAGAACTGATTTGAGAGCAGAGGGGAAATGCAAGAGGTGATGAAGAGACTCATGGAGATGCAATTCAAGATCATGTTGATCGCTCAAAAGATAACACTAGCCAATGTTTGATCAAGGAATTCTTGGTGAAATTAAAGGGGAAGGAGATTGAACAAGGAGGACAATGAGGACATCATCTATGAACAGAGGAAGAGAGGGAGTTGGGTGGCGATGTGAGGGTCTAGAAACTGAGAATGCATATGGATGGGTGTATCTAATGGAGTGATACTTTACAATAAATGGGTAATGAGGGAAGATAAAGCTTATGGTGGCAGAATTATGTCTGGAAGCTAAGACAATAACATGGTTTCAATGGATTGAAGATGGGTGTATCTAATGGAGTGATACTTTACAATAAATGGGTAATGAGGGAAGATAAAGCTTATGGTGGCAGAATTATGTCTGGAAGCTAAGACAATAACATGGTTTCAATGGATTGAAGCGAGGTTCCCGATACACTAATGTGAGGAGTTTAAAGATTGTTTGTTGGAGTGTTTTTAAGCCATTCGGGGAGGAAACCTTCACGAGCAATACTACGCTTTGACTCGAGAGGGACTGACCATGGAATACAGGGAGAGGTTTAAGCTCTTGTCAGGACAACTGAGAGGTATTTTTACAGCAAGACTGGAGGGTAACATTGTCAAGGGCCTAAAGCTTGACATTCGAGCGTGGCTATCCGATTGAGACTGCAGGGATTGAGAAAAATGATGGAGCTCGCCAAGATGATGAAAGACAAGAAATAAGTGAAGAAGACCGACAACCTTAGCAACATGGGAGGATACTACAAGAGTGCCTCGAAAATCACGATATTGAGGACCCAGACAGTGTCTTTTAAAAAAGAAACGCCAAAGAAGATTATGGGGATTTATCTCGGGGGCAGTTTCAAACACCTTATCGATAGAGGTGTAGGATAAAAAAAAAATAATTATGTGTAACGAGAGTATGCCCCAAGGCGTCGTTGCAAGGAGTTCGCACTTCAGATCCTTTTAGTCCAAAAGAGCAGATGGTGAGAAATTGGAGGAAGACACAGTGGAGGAAAGGAGCATTTGCATTTGGATATAGCGGGGTTTCCCTAAATTCAGTGTGGGTTTATTCCGAATCACACCATAAAGGTGTGATAGAGGTGTAGGATAAAAAAAAATAATTATGTGTAACGAGAGTATGCCCCAAGACGTCGTTGCAAGGAGTACACACTTCAGATCCTTTTAGTCCAAAAGGAAGAGACAGATGGTGAGAAATTGGAGGAAGACACGATGGAGTAAAAGGAGCATTTGCTTTTGGATATAGCGGAGGTTTCCCTAAATTCAATGTGGGTTTATTCCGAATCACACCATAAATGTGAGGGGATAGATTGGGGAGTAATCAGTTGTGGCGTTGGTAAATAGTGGGGCTACACATAACTTCATCTCAAATCAAATTGTGGATCATCCAAGGTTGGATTTGGTAGATGCAGGAAGCTTTGGTGTCTGATGGGGACAGGGAAGATAGAGAAGAGATGGGGAATTTGCAAGGGATTCGTTCTGGCACTACATTTCTTACAGGTAGTGGAGGACTTACTTCCCTTGAATTTGGGTGACATAGATATGATTCTGAGGATGAAGTGGTTGTAGATGCTTGGGGAGATGAATGTGGATTGGAGATCTCTTATGATGGAGTTCCAGGCGGGGGATAAGAAGGTATTGTTGAGAGGGGATGTTGGGTTATGTTGGGGCATGGTCTTCTCAAACCCATGGTCAAGATGATACAGGGAGTGGGGCTAGCTTTTTTGGTGAGGTTGCAAAGCATCGAGGCAATCCGAAACCCTAGAGGCTGTAGAGTTTTCCCAAGGGGATCCAACAACAGTTGTAGCATTTATTGATATCTTTCAATAGTCAGGCAGGTTACCGCCACCTTCGGAGCACGAGCATGCCTTTACATTGAAGGATGTTGTCCCTTCTATCAGTGTCAGGCGATATTGGTATTTTGAGAGTTAGAAGGTTGAGATAGAGAAGTTGTTCCGAGAGATACTCAGCAGAGATTATCAGCCTAATGTGAGCTTGGGGAGATGGTGGATTGGGGATAAGAAGGTATTGTTGAGAGGGGATGTTGGCTTATGCAGGGCCATGGTTTTGTTCAAACCTATGGTCAAGATGATACAGGGAGCGGGGTTAGGTTGTTTGGTGAGGTTGCAAAGCTTCGAGGCAATCCGAAACCCTAGATACTGTAGAATTTTCCCAAGGAGATCCAACATCACTTGTCGCATTTATTGATATCTTTCAATAGTCAGGCGGGTTACCACCATCTTCGGAGCACGAGCACACCTTTACATTAAAGGACGGTGTCCCTTCTATCAGTGTCAGGCGATATTGCTATTTTGTGATTTAGAAGGTTGAGATAGAGAAATTGATCCGAGACATGCTCAGCTGGGATTATTGGCCTATTGTGAGCTTTTTTTCTATAGTCCACCTAAGGAGCACGAGCATGCCTTTACATTAAAGGATGGTGTCCCTCTTATCAATGTCCGACGATACCAATATTCTGAGATTTAGAAGGTTGAGATAGAGAAGTTGATTCGAGAGATGCTCAAAGTTGGGATTATCAGGCCTAACGTGATCCCTTTTTCTAGTCCAGTCCTGTTAGTGAAGAAAAAAATAGCCCGCGATTTTGCGTGGATTACAGGGCTTTGAACAAGAAAATTGTCTTGGACAAATTTTCTTTTCCTAAGATTGATGAGCTGCTAGTGAGCTTTATGAGACCATTTTCTCGAAGATCGATTTGAAGTCGGCGTATCATTAGATCAGGATGTTCCCAGTTGATGTGTGCTAGACAACATTTGGGACCCATAAAGGACATGAGTTTTTGTTGATGACATCTGTCTTTACCAACACTTCGATCACATTATAGTCGCTCATAAATAGTGTTTTTCAGCCTTATCAATGCGCCGACCGCATTCCAGTCATCTCAATTTATTTCATATTATCTTCGATCACATTATAGTCACTCATAAATAGTGGTTTTCAGCCTTATCAATGCTCCGACCGCATTCCAGTCATCTCAATTTATTTCATATTATCTTTTCTTCAGTATGTAATACTCCAAGCTTTTTTCTGAAATAGCTATTCGTTTGTCTATCTTTTTTAATTTTACCTGCAAAAAAGCAACACCTTGTTGGTATTTTCTTCTCCAAGTACTGAAATTTATTCAGCATTTAGTTGTAATTTTAAAATATTTTATTTTTTAATCTTCATGATTATTTAATCTTGGGTAACATGTGAATCAATGTATAATTGATATTGACGTAATGTGAGCTATATATATTTTACATGAGCTTAGGATGACAATTGTCTCATTGAAATTCTTAAATTGTGTGTTGTTTCTGGTTTTATTATGTGGAGCACTATTGTTATTTCCACTTGATGCGCGCTTCTCGACAGCCAGGTTGTGTGTGTGTGTGTGTTTGTGTGTGTGTGTGTGTGTGTGTTTATTTTTTTCATTCTCCGCTAAAATAATGCACTTCTTGAATTTTTTTGAACTATGATTTATTAGCCACTTCAACCATATCAACGATGAACCACTAATTTAAATCACCATCGTGAAGCATATTGTGGAAGGGGTTGGGAATCGAGTTTCTCATAACTAATTGCAGGCGGTGTAAAGAATAATGACTAATTAAACATATTTTTGGCCTTAAATTAAAATATTTTATGTTAGGGCTGATTTACATGAATGATTGCAGGCACACTGGTATAGTTGTTTATGGGAACGAGTACTACTATGGAGCAGCAGGCATTCAGCACGATCCTGTTGGTAGGACTCCATATGGAGTTCCCCTCCGGTCGGTTGAGCTAGGGCTTACCCATGTACCCAAGGAGATTTTTGATGATTATTTGCTGGAAATAAGTTCACGTTATACTCCCGAGACCTATAGGCTCCTCACCCACAACTGCAATAACTTGAGCAATGAGATAGCACAGTTCTTAGTTGGGACTCCCATTCCCGATTACATCCTCCAACTTCCAAACGAAATCATGAACAGCCCAATGGGATCACTTATCTGTATACCAAATGTTCTTCATACTACATGATTCACGTATTAACTTGGTTTTCTTATCACTCACAATTTTTTTTTTAATTTTTATTTGTAGTGCCCATGATCCAGCAACTAGAAACTACGATGAGATCTGGTGCAATTCCTCAGCCTCAACAGTTTCTTCCGCCTACACAGAAGGCACGGCAGTCGGCTGTGCCAAGGGCTGTTGCAACAAACACAAGCAAACCCGTAGCTGCTTCAACTCCAAATCCAGAAACAAGCCCAGACCAAAGCAACGCTGTAGCCAAAGCTGAAGTGAAAACGTCTACGGATAATGAGAAGAAACCTACAGCTGCAGACCCGCTCGGTGAAGCCAGGAGCAGGGTTCAAGAAGAAATCACACGAGAGTTTGCTGCCATCATGTCCACCGGTACCATACGTGCTAGTGAGGCTGCAGCTCTTGCCACTAGAAGGGTGATGGAGAGGCATGCGCAGATAAATACCCCAATGCAACAGAGCTAAAAGTTGCTAATTTGTTTTTTTTTAATTAACCAGAGGAAGATTCGTGCATCATTCTCAGATACATTCTCAGATATAATAATTTCTTTATATTTTAAAATTCCAGTTGTGTTTACCCTTTTGATTTGGGTCGTCTTCTAAGTACGGGTAAGATCTTGTTTAGGCACATTGCCCCTTTTTTTTATTTTTGATAATTTCCTAACAAGATTCCTATTATTTTCTTGAACTTCTCTTTCTTGTCTTTTAAATATCTTGGTACAATGGGTACGTGGTACATCGTCTCGGATATTTGAACTTGTGATGGGGCGGGCTAGTTTTGGATTTTTGTTATGAACTAAACGAAATGACTGTTATTTTGCGTTATATTTAATTCATCTGCTTTTTTATTTAATGTTAGTCAGAAATTTCTAAGTTTATTATAATTTTTTGCTTATTAAATTACCCTTTCATCTCTGGATAATGTGATCATTGTGAAATTCTTGAAATCTCTGATTTGTGCAAAATTTTATGAAAATTAGTTGAATCGGTATTTTGATCATTTTCTGATTTTTTGTAAAATTTACGAAGTAGAATTGGATATAATTTGGTTAAAATTGGTTAAAATGTCAAAATTGCAAATTGGCCCTCTGAAATATATTTTGAATATTAAAATCATCAAAATCTTTATTGAAATTATTAAGAAAACATGGATAAGGAAATTTAGCTAAAATTCACCTAAAATAAAAATAAAATTAGGTTAACATGTAATTTATCTAAAATTACAAGTTAATCCTTCTTTACTTTTAAGCTACTAAATCCAAAATAATAAATATTGGTAGAATTTAAGCTCACATAATTATTAATCAACAATGAAAATTTCAGTAAAATCAGAAGGTAAATTTGACCTTTTATATTTTTTATCCTTTGATTTGAACAAGTGAATACTCAAAATTGAAGAATTTTTTTTTAGAGAAATAGTATTATTCTGCTCTTCGTTTATTAATAATGAAAGAATTTACAAAAGAGGAGGAAAGAGGACCTTCCTGACCACACACACAACAAAGAAAAAAATTAAAGGTCATCTTTTCCCAAAAAAAGAAAAAAAACAAAACACACACAAAAACAAAAATAGCACAAAAAACAATAGAAAAAACAAAAGGAACAAATATCCTTTAAAGCAAATTGCAGCAAATACAGAGGAACAACCTTTGAAATCATAGTTCCATTCATTTTCAAATCATATTTAACCACCCAATGTGCAATCATATTACCTTCACGCTTAGTATTAGACTACCTTATAACCAAGTTCTTAGAGAAATCAACAATCCTTTTCATCTGAAGATTAATACTCTAGTGATGAGCATCCTGAAATTGAGAGCACTTCCATAAAATCAAAAACAAGTTTTAATAATAACAAATTTCTATCCAAATTTCTGAGTCACCTGAAGTCCATAAACCAAAGCATTAGCTTCAGTAACCAGAGGGGAAATAGGAATAGCACATGCCAAGAACCAACATATAATAAAATCCAAAAAATCTCGACATACTCCTCCAACACTCGCAGAAAAGGAAGTCCAGCAACCATCAGTATTGATTTTTATAAAAGGTGTCCAAGGTTTACACCACTTCACCACAGAGAAAATCTTATTATGTACAACAATAAGTAAAATTTTCTTTTGAAGAAGTTCCTTTAGTTTAACCGTAATCTTCGTATTAGGAGTCAGCAAATTCAATCCTTTAATCAGATAAGTAAGAACCATACAAACAATGCGATGCACATTAGGAACTGTATTGTTGAATTTGACATCATTCCTAGTAAGATAAAGCAAATAATAACAGCATGTACCGAACTGAAAAAGGTATGACCAAGTTTCTTCCATTCATTGAAAATAGCAAAAATATAAGTATGCTAAAACAAAGACCATATTAACTACAATTTCATAATAACTTCAATCTAAATATCAACAGTAAACTAACAATTAACAAAAAAAATGAGTAATGAATTCTTCATGGTCTCTAAACAAAACACAACATGAAGGCCACTTCAAACCCTTCATTTTGAGAATATCATCACAAGGAATTATATTATGAAAGACACTCTAAACAAAAGAAAGAGATGGATGGTTTAACCCAAGGATTCCAAATCCAGCTAAGATTTGGCCCTTGAAAATGCTGAAAGTAGATAACAAAGCTTTTTGCACAAGAGTCTCCCAATTTGCCTTTAACCCTAACAAATCAAGCTTATCACTGTTAATAGGAATAGAAGCAACAAAATTTGCATCATCATAGCGAACCATTTTCCTAAGCTCTCTTAAACACCAACGATTCTCATACCAAAAATCATTGACTTTGATATTAATATCAACATGAACACCATAGAAGTCAGCTAAAGTGCCATTTCTCATCCAATCATCATACCAGAAATAATAGTCTCTTTTATCAATTTCCCAACACCTCAAGTCACTAGTAATTCTAGCAACCTTAAGCATTTCACGCCAAATGCCAAATAAAGGAATCAGACTTATTGCTTGCATTAAAGAAGCCCAAATGGAGTTATTCTGACAAAATCTGAACCACAATTTCATATAATTTATCTTAATTGAATCTTGTAAAATTCTTAAATCAAGACCAAAGCTTATTCCAACTTTTCCAATGAATCTTGGAATTACCTTTGCCTTCCCTAAGAAACATATTAAAAAGATTTTCAATCTTCTTTATAACAACCAAATGCATATTCATAACTTGCAAAGTATAAAGAGGGAGAGAAGTAAGAACACTCTTAAGAAGAGCTATACGCCCCACAAAAGAAAGATACTTATTTTCTCAAGATAAAATCTTATTCTTGATTTTATCAAAAAGGCTAAAAAAAGAGCACTTTTATTCCCGCCTTTATCCATATGAAAACCTAAATAAGTCAAAGGAAAAATAGCCTTGTTGCAACCAATATAATCAGTGGGCCAATTTCTCTTAGAAACAGTGACCCTCTTAGAACAATAAAAGTAGCATAAAAAGGCTAGAAAAAGAGCATTATTCCCACCTTTATCCATATGAAAACCTAAATAAGTCAAAGGTAAAATATCCTTGTTGCAACCAATATAATCAGTGAGCCAATTTCTCTTAGAAACAGTGATCCTCTTAGAACAATAAAAGAACTTTTATTCCCGCCTTTATCTATATGAAACCTAAATAAGTCAAAGGTAAAATAGCCTTGTTGAAACCAATATAATCAGTGAGCCAATTTCTCCTATAAACAGTGGTCTTGTTAGAACAATAAAAGTAGCATTTAGGAGTATTAAAGAGCAAACCTAAAACATTCTGAAACTTCATAATCTCATCCCAAAATTTTTTGACAGATCTTTTATTGGCATTAGTGAAGATAATCATATCATCACCAAAGCATAAATGAGAAATACTTAAGTTGCCTTTGTGATTATAATTCAAACTAGGATAGAAAGTAAACAAACCATTCAAACATCTTGATAAGTCATAAGTAGTCAAAGCTGATGATAAAGAGGTAAGGGGATAGAAGATCACCCTATTTAATTCCTTTATATGCTTTGAAGAAATCGTATTTATTACCATTGATAAGAAGAGAGTAGTAATTGCCACTGAGAATTCTATAGATAAGATTACAGAGAATAACATTAAAGCCAATAGTTTGAACAATATCTATAATGAATTCCCAACTAATAGTGTCAAAAGCATTTTTAATCTTTATTTTAAAAATGATATTCCCTCTACTTCTTTTATCAATATCCAAAAGAAGCTCTTGAACAATAAGAGCATTGCCACAAATATTCCTCCCTTTCATAAAAACAGACTGATTCATGCTAATAATATCATTAAGAATTGGTTGAAGTCTTTTGACCATAATTTTTTATATAATCTTGGACAGAACTTTATACAAACTAATAGGTCGAAAAACATCCCAAGTTGTGGCATCACGCAGCTTAGGAATCAACACAATATTAGAGGATTTAAAATATTTACCTCGAAAAAAGTCTTAAATAGTATTCACAATTTCCTTATGAATAATGTCCCAACTGTATTTTTAGAACTCAACAGTGAAACCATCAGGACTAGCCGCTTTGCCAGTCTCAATATGGTCGATAATCTCTTTAATTGCTGAAAAGCTAGGAATACAAGTAAACAAGGAATTATTAATCCTAATTCCATCATTATAAAGATTACAGTCAATAGGATCAATTTCAATTTTTAATACAAGCATGAAAAAAGGCACTATTCCCATCTTCATTCAAGAATTGAGTCTTAGCCACTTTTCTGGCATAAAAACTTTCTTCCATACGAATAACATTAGTAGACTTCTACTGTCACTAAAGTAAAAGATCCCAATCAATAGTATTATGAGCAAAAAATAGTTTCAAGAGATTTAATATTTGCTTCAAGAGCATCAATGGTTCGGTGAAGATTCCCAAAAACATCCCAATTTCACTTCTTAAGAGCTTTGGCAAGGTTCTTATGTAAAACCCAAAGTTTATAACCTGAAGAACCAATCACATTATCCTTCCAATTGTCTTTGAAAAATTATTTATTATTATCATGAAGAATCCACATATTATAAAATCTAAATTGATAATGATTCAAATAAGAACTATGCTTTATTTTTAAAATAATAGGAGCGTGATCTGAAGCATTAATAGAAAAATGATTAATAGTATGCAAAGAAAAATTATTAATCCAAGTAGAATTGGCAACATATTTATCAAGCCGCTCAAAAACCTTTCCTGTATGCCAAGTAAAAAAGTTTTCATGAAAATCCAATTCATAAAACCAAAATCCATCAGTGTTTCATTAAATTCATCAATAAGCTTAAGGTTAGGAGTGGTTCCTCCTTTCTTCTCAAAAGAAGAAGAAATAATATCGAAACCACCTCCTATAAGCCAAGCCTCGTTAGAAGGATTAATAGTTTTAATCAAATTCCAAACTCAATACGTGCCTGCTTAGTATAGCCGACATAGATGATAGATAAAAGAAAAGAGTCATGAGAATAATGAACTCTAATAAGTAATAACTAAGTATGATTGATAAGAATATCAATTCATAAAGAATCCTTCAATT